TCTCTCCTCCCGGCGCAAAGTTTCTTTTGAACAAATGACTGTAAATATTATTTTTTTTAATAGTTTGTCCTGGTGCTTATAATAATGTAATATGAATGTATATAAACTGATTTACATTCAATCGTTTCTGTTTTTACAGTAATTTCTAATCGGTTATGTTCGGCGAAATACACAGAGTCCGAATTGAATGGCAGTCTTTGGCGTCTGGTTACTCCAATCTACACTGGCAGTATTCTCTACATGGGATATGTTTAGCCTCGATCACCGAGTCGCTTCATACAAATGGTGACCAAAAGCATTCTGACGCGCAAATCGTTTGCCAATTTTAAAATGTTCATTTTGTCTTAAATGTTGGATATCAGAAGTCCATCTTTTCGATTAAACATAAACTTCTAGAAGCTATAAAATACTTGACTAATGTACCAATTGTTAATTTGTAACACGTTTAACACCATATCTCTCTACATGAATAATCAATAAACTGTTCATAAGATAAAACAGAACATTTTTTTTATACCTGTAAAATAATATACCAATTGTTTATTTGATAAGTTTAAGTCTACCATGTAATATGGAAATTTGCAACACGTTTCAACACCATATCTTTTTACACGGCCTAACAATAACTTGTTCAAAGGATAAAACAGAAACATTGCTTTTATAACTGTAAAATAATATACGAATTATCTGTAAAATAATATACAAATTATCATTTTATACCGCATATTTTACTGGTAATCAAGTAATGCTGGAAATTGCAACGTGTTTCGGCCCCCTATATTTCCCCTCCCTTTTCAGGGATGGACTGAAAATCAATATATTTGTTTCAAAGATCCCTAAAAAAGTTAATGTTCTTGCGTAGTGATGAATTTACATCGTTTTTGATGAATTTTTAAAGGGACAATAACACTCTTGCTGGCTTGAAAGCTCCAACTAGGCTAGTGGGTCGACACTTTATAGGACGATGTATGCAGATGGGAAAACCCGACTGCGTTGTTTGTTGTAAGAAAGTTGAAGGCAAGTACATTCGCCGGCATCAAACCACCTATTTGTGCAAAAACTGTATTCCTGAGGTGCCACTCTGTGTCACACCTTGCTTTGAAATCTACCACACAATTCAGAATTACAAAGAATTTTATGAACAGAACTATGTCTAAGGTAGGAAATAAATCTTTAATTTTTGTTTACATGTTATAATTTGGTTTTACATACAAAATTTTTAGATTTTACAGGAACAAAAAAAAAAATTTTTTTTTCACACAAAAGGGTCACATTTTACCCCCCCGGGAATTTTTAAGGGGACTTCCTCCCCCCCCCCCCCCCCGAAACTGTACATATTAATTTAGCTTATTCATTTACCTACAAAATATTTACTGAATATTATGGCATAGCACAAATACTTCCCACCTAAAATTGCACTTTAAAAAAAGTAGTAGTTATAATTTAGGCATTCATAAATTAATCCAGCTCCAGGAAGCATAAAACTTAATTTTAATTCAGTAGTCAAAGGGTTAAAACAAAAATCTGAAAGGAAAAGAGAGAGAGAGAGAGAAATGGGGTTTAACTTCCACCCGACACAAACTAGGTCATTTCGGGACTAACATATGGTTTAATTTTATTTGAATAATTCGCTTGCGCATAGGGGTCTTTAGCAGTGGGAGGAAACCGGAGGACCCGGAGAAAACCCACGAGGTTGGAAAGGCGTACAACCGGGGATTCGAAACCACGCCAGTCGACTCAATGACCGACTTTATGATACAGCGCGCGCACATTAACCATTCAGCCATCCAACCCCCCTGAAAGGAAAAGGAAAGTCACTTAAGTGAAAGAGAAGAAAAGGGTCCCAATAAAGAAGAGAAAACCGATTTCAAGCGAATCCGAGTCGGAAGAAGATGTACCATCAGATAAGAGAAGAGTGCTTTTTCCTGAATCTGATGATGAGGTAGAGTATTCTTCTGATGAGGATACTTTCGAAGAACCAAACCTTCAGTTTGGCAAAGAACATATCTCAGAAGATGACTTTATTCTTAGTAAATTTGCTACTAAAAGGTCTGTAATTATGTTCATAGGGCAGATTATAAGCTTGTCAGATGACAAGGAGGAATTAGAAGTACAATTCCTTCGCCGGGAAAACCCCAAAGAGTTTAAGTTTATATTTCCAGCTGCTGATGACATATCAGATATTGAATTTGATGATATTGTCTGCCGCTTGCCACAGCCTGCAAATTGTGGGGGTACAATCAAGACTTGCCTGGCACTTAGTATTTCCAGTTGACTTGAGTTGTTTTTCTTCATCTTAGAGGAAAGATGCTGTTGGTGTTAGGTCTAGGCTTACTGGTAGGCCACTTTTCCTACTTTTCAATATCATATCACTACATTGTATCATATCCATATTTCCCTTCATGTTTACGGGACAACTCTTTAATTTGTTTTTATAGGACAAAGAAAAGCCCTAAATCAAAATGTTCATTTTTTGTTACTGTTATACAGGTTGGGCCCCATGTAATGGGTCACTGGCATGGGTCACTGGCACAGTGGCTCACTTCGGATATTTTTCAAAAATCTGAATAACTATTAGCTCATCATCTTTTGGTTGTCATGGCTTGTCAACCTTAAAGTACTAAGTCATGCCATACAACTGCAACAGAAAGTTTGAGATTGCCTTAAAATCTCAGATAATTAAGGGGTCTAAAACAAATCTGATCCACTGTACCCCACCTTGCCCTAATCAATTACGCCGCTCGGGGCAAGCAAGATCTCTGGAGTAGAGTTTCGTCTTTTTGTGAGGGGTGTTACAAAAAATGTGATGTTTATATTTATTTGTAGAGTTATGAGTTTCTAGTTATTTTACGGGTTCCGTTTGGATGATGTAAGATTTGTTGACTTCCTTTGTACGAATATTGTAAGTACGGGCTGAGGCAGTGTAACAAAGGGTGAAGTCTCTGTTGTCCTTTTTGACCTAAACGCTGTTACCAACATCAATATGATTATTGTTAAGATAAGCTACTGCCATATTGAAATGGTCATGTCGGAGAACCCGCCGACCTTTAATTTATTTATTAGTATTAGCTGTCATCATAATTCTTTTTATTCAATATCAATAATATGTAACTTCATACCTCGCCTTTAAATTGGCTTAGGTTTCAGATGAAGACAGTTCAGTTAGTTGAGTTAAGTAGCTCAACACAGAACCATGGAGGCTTCCGTTTGGGTGATGTAAGAATATTGTAAGTTCGGGCTGAGGCAGGCGTCAATTAGCGTTTATATCCCGAGTTTAATTCAGTCGAGACCGGCCTTGGTCACAATGTTGTAATGAAGTTGACAGAACCAATCCAAGGATCCTATCAACAGATCTACTTTGACAATTTCTCAATAGCCTCCAATTGTAACTGGACCTGATGAAAGTAAAACGTAATCTTGCGGAACAACTCGATCCAACAGGAAAGGCTTTCCCGATTCTCTCTGGAAAGTGAAACTGAAGCGAGGAGAGGTAAACTTTGCACAGTGTGGTGACATGGTTGCAAGTACCTGGCAAGACAAGCGTAATGTGAACGTTTTGTCGACAAATTCATCGCCACAAATACAACAAATCACCAGAATCGGGAAAAGGTGGAAAAGAGGAAAATGTTATGAAACCGGACGCCATGATAAGTTATAATACATTTATGGGATGGGTCGATCTTCATGATCAAAATAGGTCTTATTATGATCCCGACAGGATAATTGTTAAATGGTGGCGATACTTGTTTTGGTGGTTTTTGAACTCGACAATTGTAAACAGTTACATTCTTTACAAACTGAAGAGATCTTCTAAACAAAAACCAGTCATGAACCACTTTCAATATCCTCATCTTCTGGCCAAACAACTCTGCGGTGGACAACAATCAGTTCGACGAGTGGCACAGAAAAGAAAGAACATAGAGCGTGGACTGTTTGCTAGTACACAAACTTGTAAAAATGCCAGGTCGGAAACATGTCTGTGTCTTGTGTTCTACTGAGGGGAAGGGAGACCGTGAAAGCAAGTGGTGTACAGACAACATTTGGATGTGAACAGTGTGCCGTCTCCTGACAAGTCAGTGTTTTGCCAAATATCACAACCAAAGTATATTAAAATAACAAAATATAACATTGCATATATTAGATTTATTTGGCTTGTAAATAGAACTTCATTCAATTTTTTCTGTGTTGTAAATAAAACTTTCACTTCAACTACCCACTCATTAATGGGAATAGCTGCAAAAGACCACAAGGACCACAAGCCTGGTGTTCGTGCGGAATCTTGGAACATGTGTGATATATTGGCAATGCCCTTTGTGTACATCCTTGTTTCAAGAATTTTCATTCCAAAAATGAAAACTAAACTGACTTCTGTGTACTGTACATATGTTTAATGTTGGTTGCATGAACAAAAAAAAAAAAAAATCCTGGGTCAAACTGGTCAACACCATTTCTCTCTCTCCTTCATAAATGTGACTTTAGGCATGTCAGGTACATTCCCCAGTCATAAAATCTATGTTTTCTTATCTTTCATAAGTGGATAATTGTCATTTACGATTATCATTATTAATTAATTGATTAAAAATTCTAACAATGAATCAGTTGATAAGATATATATATATCATGCATTTAACATAACGAATGATTCCCTATTCACTTCTGAGAAATGAAGAAGTTACGGCCAATTAACCTCATTTTTCATCCACTAATGATCACAGTTATTGTTATAATGAAGCTTAAAAAAGGGGCAATTTTTCGGATTTAAAAATACCACAATCTCCTTATTTCTTAACATAAATCAATAATTTTGGTCACTTGTTTTCTTTTGACCTGCTCTATCTATTGAGAGGGGTTGATTTTTTTTCTGTCACAGCTGGACGCACCTTATCATAATCCCAATCAAGGACAAGAGGATGACGACCTACTACATATATATTGGAAATAAATGATTTTTGGACTAAAATTCAGTTATTTTAAATCTTTAAAGTCAATTCGATATTAACCTCAAGCAATAGGCATATTTAGACCTTGCATTATGCATCTTAATAACTTTTACATAATTAGATTAAATACGAGGTAAAACAACCGTTGTAGTACTGTATTTAACTCCGGTATTCTTAGCGAGTAGATAACGGGTTGCACGTTGGCAATAAAGGGAGATAATCACCTACTTTATGTAGGTCATTAATTATTTCTTATAGTATTTTTTACATAATTACCACGAGACCTTGTTTTAGGCGTATAGACATAATGTTTACATGTTACTATAATACTATCAGAAGAGATATATGTCTTACTATTTAAATATTTGATGTTTCATATTTTTGACCTAATTACAAACATAAGGGAGGTAATCTTATTTTATGTAGGTTATTGCATTTAATTCATACAGATATTACATATTTAATCATCTAACCCTTACATGCTGATCAGCATCAATCATTTTACATATCACGAAAATAATATTATGAAAATAGAACCGAAAAAACGTGAATTTTCTAATATAGGTCACAACATTCCAATGATCATGACAACAATTACTCTTAATTACCCACATAACAATATGATGTTAAATTTACGTTACATTTACGTAAAAATGGTCAGTCAGTTTACCATCATTTTGCTCATCTTTTTAACGATAATTTTACGTCAGGAAATGACGTTAATCTAACGTAAAGTTTACGTCATTTTTACGTTACATTTACGTCATTTTCTGACGTAAATCTAACGTAAAGTTTACGTCATTTTCTGACGTAAATCTAACGTAAATTTTGCGTAAAGTTTACGTCACTTACGTTAGATTTACGCCAGAAAATGACGTAAACTTTACGTTAGATTTACGTCAGAAAATGACGTAAAAATGACGTAAACTCTACATTAGATTAACGTCATTTCCTGACGTTAAATTTTCGTTAAAAGGATGAGCAAAATGATGGAAATCTAACCGACCATTTTAACGTAAATCTAACATTAAATAAACATCATTTTCGGATGCAATTCTAATGTCAAATGAGCAATTAAAACCTTTAATATAATCTATTATTGGTGGTTGTAATTGTAAAATTCAGTCAACCAATAACCAAATCTTCTTTAACCATATGAGGTGCTAAAGACTCCTGGCGCAAACAATTATTGAACTGAAACTGAATCGTAGGCCCCATTTCTCTCTATCTATTTCGTCCTCGAGGTTTCGGTGGTCAAACGGTTAACGCATGTTCGTTGCATCATAAGTTCCGTCATTGAATTAAGAGAGAGAGAGAGAGAAATCGGGTTTAACGTCCACTCAACACAAATAAGGTCATTTCGGGACTAACACATGGTTCAATTTTTTATTTCAATAATTCGCTTGCGCGTAGGGGCCTTTAGCAGTGGGAGTAAACCGGAGGACCCGGAGAAAACCCACGAGGTTGGACAGGCGACCCTACTCCTTGTCACATATTGAAATAAAACTAAACCACATGTTAGTCCCAAAATGACCTAGTGTGATTCGAGTGGAAGTTAATCCCCATTTCTCTCTATACATGTATTTATCAATAACCATTCAGAATTCTAAATGTAATTGCAACCAAACGCCAAAAAACCAGTACAACTTACATAATTATTCAACAAAATATACTACAAGTATCTATACTTTATTCAAAAAATACATATATAATGTAATAAAATACAAAAGTAGACATTTAAATTGTAACAGTTTATCCACAGCATTAAGTTGGTGACAATTTAGGAAACGGTCTTCGAGAAAAACTTTGAAAATGTGGAAATACGCCAACACATTCAGCAGTATATCAGAAAGGAAAACTGTGACGTTGACCAAATTTGATAAAAAAAAACAAAACAAAAAACCTACGGCCTCTATCACGTTTGCTAAAGGTTTTCGAACTAGGTGGGATAATACTGGAAAGGAAATTTGTGGAATACTGAATATCTATGCTTCACACCAACTTTGAAACAAATGTGAATAAATTATAGGGCAGTGTTCACAGGTTTTGCAGCCAATCTGCGGGGGTGGGGACAAAATTTGAAAAAGATACATTAACGATACTTTCTGTAAGATTTAGATAAAGAGCTGACCATTCTTGCTATGATTGTTCAAAAATAAATAATATACATGTAAAATGAAAATTTCATTCAAATTACTTCATTCTGAGCCAAGTTATCACAGTTTCTAGTTTCGACATGATGTGTGCATTGTGGTAATGAGGGCACAGGTATATTCAAGACTTGGCCTCACTTTCCCATTTTTTAATTAAATTTTTAAATTGCAGGCCAGTTAAAATCTTGAGTATCCAATGCCTTCATATTGCATACTTTTACACATTTTGTCAGGCAGTTTCATTTTGATTTTCCCTAAATTCGAATTCAACCTTGATTATGCGATTTTTCGAACAATCAGGAGCCATAATCGAGGAAGTTACGTTCGGATATGCGCGATTATGAAAAGGAACCAAGATCTTAGTGTGTAATGGTTATATATACACATGGTTTTTTTTATAAATCGAATAAAAATTGTGACCTCTACAGGGACCACAAGCTAAAAACGGATGGACGTCTGGACGGACAGGGGCTACGACAATATACGTCCACATGAAAATGTGGGCGTATAAAAATTGTGACCTCTATAGGGACCACAAGCTAAAAACGGATGGACGTCCAGACGGACAAGGGCTACGACAATATACGTCCACATGAAAATGTGGGCGTATAAAAATTGTGACCTCTATAGGGTCCACAAGCTAAAAACTTGATTTTTCGTACAATCAGGGACCATAATCCAAGAAGTTACGGTCAGATACATGCCAATATCGAAAGCAACCAAGATCTTTTGGAGATAAACCTATATTTCAAGTTTCGTCAAAATCGGATAAGAATTGTGACCTGTAGAGTGTCCACAAACAATTGTGTACAGACGTCCGGACGGACCGGGGCTACCACAATATGCGTCCACATGAAAATGTGGGCGTATAAAAATTTTGACCTCTATAGGGTCCACAAGCTAAAAACATGACTTTCAGTACAATCAGGGGCCATAATCCATGAAGTTACGGCCCCACAAACAATTGTGGACGGACAGGGGCTACAAAAATATACGTCTACATGAAAATGTTAGCGTATAAAAAACTGTCACCTTCACAATCACAAACTAATTTGGACAAACAAACAGTCAGGGCAACGATATAATACCCCAATATTGAAATAAGGTATATACTTAATTACACCAATATTACATGTGTGATAGAATTTGTTAAACACATTACAAATATAATTTTAACACAGATTTTTGCTATTATTGATCTATCACAAAAATTTGAAGAATTTGTAAGGGTTTAAAAAGTTTCCCGTATACTATGGCGGTATATTAGATTCAAAATTCTAACATGCTATCGTCTAATTTCTTACTTCTACTCTTGTAATTTCTAACTTCCATTCATGTAATTTCTAAATTAAGACAATGTATAATTCAACTTCTTTTTTTGTTCAGTGTAAATTTTAATTGTTTCATCTTATTTCTATTATTAAGGCGAAAAATGTCTAGTCACTTTACATGTTAAGCATGAATGGTAAACAAATTTAGAATTTTGATTTCTACCTAGCAACCATCATTATGACGTCGTTTGGTGTCGCCACCGTTCGCTCAATTTGGCGATTGAGCACCTGATCGGGACCATTCTGTTGATACAAACGACTCGCTCTTAGTCCAGTTGAATGGTTTGGTGGAGTGCTAAAATTGAAAACAACTTCGAGAGAGAGAGCGAGAGAGTCTGATGGGGTTAAACGTCCACTCAACACAAACTACATGTAGGTTCGGTATTAACATGGTTCAATTTTATTTCAATAATTCGCTTGCGCGTAGGGGTGTTTAGCAATGGGAGGAAACCAGAGGACCCGGAGAAAACCCACTAGGTTGGAAAGACGACCCTATTCCTTGTCACGTACAACCGGGGAATCGAAACCACACCAGTTGACTCAATGACATACCTTATGGTACAGCGCGCACGTGCTAACCTTTCGGCCATCCAACCCCACAAACAACATTGAACGTGATATCTATGTATGGTTTGCAAATACGATTTCAAATACGGTCGGTAAGACGCTGGCTCACTAGCCTAGCGGTAGGGTGTTCGATCCCTGCATTGGTCAAGAAAGTTCATCCAGATTTTCCGGCATGGTTCCTCCTTGTCAGTGATGCAGGATGGAGGGCCTAACAAGTACAGCTGTCTAATCGTTCCGTAGGGCCTAACAAGTACAGCTGTCTAATCGTTCCGTAGTGCCGCTGTCCGGGCAAAGTTTCCTTCGTAGCACACTGTATGGCGTATTAGCCAAGTTCGGAGTAGAATAGTAGGATGTTAACCCCATTATATTTCATTTTCTATTTCAAATACAAGCTAAACAGCATTTGTTCATTTTTTTTAAGACAAGTTGAGCCAATTAATATTTATATACTGTTGGTCTACATTAACACAGGGTACAATTTTATAGATAACTCTTACTGAGTTTAATATAAAGCAACGTTTCGACGAGGACACTCTCGTCTTTATCAAGAATGTGTCGTTTATATCAACACAATGGTCCCGACCAGGTGCGCAATCACCAAAAATGAGCACGCAGTGGCGACACCAAATGACTTCATAATGATGGTTGCTAGGCAGAAGTGTAAAAATTAAGAAGACGTTTTTCGTCTAAATAATAGAAATAAGATGGAATAGAATTAAAATTTACACTGAACAAATAAAGAAGTTGGATTATACATTGTCTTAATTTAACAAAATACATGAATAGAAGTTAGAAATTACATGAATAGAAGTTAAAAAATACATGAACAGAAGTTAGAAGTTAGACGAAAGCTCGTTAGAATTTTGAATCTAATATACTGGCTGCAGTAGATTTTCAACTCACTGATACAACTCAGTTCAAGCCAAAGAGCGGTTATATGATACTGTGACACAGTGACAGGATATCTGCTTGAGGCAAACTATTCATAAACAATTGACTCTTACAAGATCAGACGGAAAATATTTTAAGCCTACTGCTTGTAAAGTAAAGCTTTGGCCTACATTCTGGTGAATTTTGTGCTACCATAGATACATATATGAGTTCGGTACATAATTAAAAAGTCTTTATTTCTTTGCCATCTGGGTGGTTTCATAGACGAGTGTTATTGAGGAGTGTTATTGAGTTCAGTCGCTTGGTTTCAATCCCAAGTCGGTATGTGACAAATAGTTGTGTATGATGTATGATAAGTAGTAATGTCATCTAGCTTCCATATACAAAGCCCTTATCAACCTTTTTATAACTTCCTCGACATGACTGCCATGAATGGTGCTCAAATATAGGATCTGTAAAAAACAAAACAAAAAAAAATTCAATTAAAGCAACTTTTATACTCCAAAATCAAAATGAAATTAGGTTTAAATTATCATTCAATGTGTACAAAATACCTTGGTTTTTTGTCCCATTCGAAAGACTGTACATTGGCCCCAGCCTGCAGAGACTGGCGTTGGCCCTCTCTAGACTCTCTGTCGTGCGCTCAAAAGTCAACTTTAGTTATGCACAGCAGGTAGATTTTTGATGAAAAGCAATAGCAGCCGGGGTCCAAGGGGGAGACGTCAAGTTTGGAATTACGTTCTGGTTGATTACAGTGTTACAGAAGAATTTGCTATATTTCTGCTATTTAGAATCAGAGAAGATTGAGATTAAAGTGTTGCCAATGCTATGAAAGTAAAAATGTCATGTGCCAAAGCCTGCAGCGTTGAGTAGTGAGGACTTTTTTTTTAGTCCAAAAGGTCTAAGTAATTATTAATTAAGTAAAAATGAAAATGTGTACAGTAATAACCTGATAGTAATTTTTTTTTTTTTCACAAAAGCAAACTGTTTCGTAACCTGGCGTCTTACAGAAGTAAGAATTACGGTGAAAAATTAGAAAAATAAGGACAGAAATAATTTTACATCTGTGTGAATAGTATACGTGTATATCAGCAGTCGGGGATATAAGAAAAAACTTACTTTCAAATAAAACCTCTCAATTTAACTGGTATAATCTATCTTTCTCTGTTTGTGTAATCCAAGTAGCTGTATATTGAACATTTCTCATGCACTCCACGAATAAATTCCAAAACGCCCGCCATCTTTAAAATAACCTTCCCAGAATACCTCGCTTCCGGGTTCAGAGTTGTAAAAAAGTACGTACAAATATAGAAGAATCAAAATGATTTTAATAATGATAGTTTAATCAATGTGGACAATATACTGAAAAGACAACAAACATAGACCACCTAACATTGAAATCCGTTAATAGAAATTACATTTAATAATCTATCGATGTAGTTATTCATTTGTATTGACTGTAATTTATCTTGACCTTGACCCAAAATGGCGGCATATATCATATACGTAGATAACGGAGTCTATGCGACTATCAACTGTAGGCCTACGCACTTCAATATTTTATATATAGTCTATAACTACGTAATATTTTAGGCTTATGAATAGTAAAATTGAAGAAATTATTATATGATTCAGAGGCCTTTTTTTAAGCATGCACATGATATAATATACATACGTACAGCTTTATTCGGATCACGACGGATGCAGTACTGCACTGGCAGTAGCCAAACTCGTATATTTGGTTGATGTTTTTTTTAAATAGATCGACTAGAGCCATTTTATTCAGTTGTATCAAATTAAATAATCCAGATTTTTAAAATAATATTTCCATTGCGAATATAGGTATCTACTTTTAAGATGTCGGAATTTTTTTTATATTTATTTTCCCAGTCTTATATTTATCTAGGTCAAACTACAACATATTTATTCGACCGTTGGACAACTTTCAAACGTGTGATAGAATCTACTATAAGGACTAAATTAAATATATTTTTGTGGTAACAGAGCTTAGACACATAACAAATTGTACACACGTGCAATAAAATAATATCTAAATTTCTACAAATTTTGACCGAATTTAAATTGGTTTGAAAGGCCACTAACTTGTCTGAGTTGGGGTATTAAGATAATTTATATTTACTTATTGTGCAAAAGTTAGTCAATTTAATAAATTCAATTACCACCCATGCAGTTAAACGCTGCCCCAAAATTAACATTCAGGCTGTAAAGGTGTTTTGGGCAATGAAATAAAAAAAAGTATTGTAATATTTTGGAGCAGATTTTATTTTGTTTAACTTCTAATTGGTTAATTCTTGTATGCATGGAAAACAGGCCACATGAAGCCAAGCCTAGAAAATATGCCAGAGTGTCCTAAATCTAATTAGCCATCAAATTTCCAAACATTCAACCAAAATGAGACGGAGGAGTCCACTAGGCCTACTATATTATTATTATGGTTTAATTATAGCACTTCATTACACATGAGTATTTCTAAGCGCATTCACAAAAACACTCATTTCAACACCATTTTTGGGGGGTTGGATGGCCGAATGGTGACGACCTGTCATTTAGTCAACTGGCGTGGTTTCGAATCCCCGGTTATACGTGACAAGGAGTAGGGTCGCCTGTCCAACCTCATGGGTTTTCTCCGGGTCCTCCCACTGCCAAAGACCCCTACGTGCAAGCAAATTATTGAAATAAAATTAAACTATATGTTAGTCCCGAATGACCTAGTTTGTGTCAAGTGGACGTTAAACCCCATATTTCTCTCTCTCTCTCTCTCTCTCTCTCGTTAAACCCCATTTCTCTCTCTCTCTCTCTCGTTAAACCCCATTTCTCTCTCTCTCTCTCAACACCATTTTGGAAATAATGATTTTTTAAGTTTTGGATGGAAGAGGACTCACAAAGAGTTTTTGGAAGACAATTTCACCTTTTAGCTGCTCTGACAGAGAAAGAATATTGACAAGCATATTCAATATGTTTCTTTTCTTACGATAGTTTAACAAAATAAAATTTACAGTTCGCACTACTTTCGAGTAGTTGTTGTAGTCACAGAGACTCGAATAGTAAGGAGAATGTGTTTGTGAACTGCACAGGTTTTTTTGTGGAATTATATTTATGACCCCTTTGCCACAATGGCTAAGTGAATAAGACACTGGCTGGCTTGCTTGGAGGTCACAGGTTCGCTCACAGTGTTGCCTGAGAAAGCTCATCAGAATTTTCCGACGTGGTTTCCGCTTGTCAGTGGTGCAGGACGGAGGGCTTGACAAGGACAGCTGGCTAGTCGTTTGGATGGGACGAAAAACTGAGGTCTTATGTACACATTGGCATGTACATAAAAGATCCCCTGACAGTTGGAATTCAATATAAGAGTAGGCCTGAGCACTGCTGTCCAAACAAAACTCCCTTGTAGCACACTGGCGCGAGGTTGGATGGCCAAATGGTTAGCGTGTGCGCGTTGTATCATAAGGTATGATTGAGTCAACTGGCGTGGTTTCGATTTCCTGGTTGTACATGACAAGGAGTAAGGTCGCCTGTCAAACTTCATGGGTTTCTCTGGGTCCTCCAGTTTCCTCCCACTGCTAAAGACCCCTACGGGCACGCGAATTATTGAAATAAAATTAAACTATATAATGTTAGTCCAGAAATGACCTAGTTTGTGTCGAGTTGATGATAAATGCCATTTCATTCTCTCTGAGGTCCCATGTACACATTGGCATGCACTTAAAGATCCCCTTGCAGTTGGAATTCAATATAAGAGTAGACCTTAGCACTCCTGTCCAGACAAAACTCCCTGGTAACGCACTGGCGGAGGGTCGGATGGACAAATGGTTAGGCGGTGGACACACTAGCCGAATGATTCGGTGTCCACTGTCATTCGGCCGAATAATTCGCCCGAATCAATTATATTCGCCTGGTGTGTTCGCTTCGCCGAAGCATTCGGCCGAAGATAGAATTCATTAGCCAATCACCACTCATATCGAGAAGTCACATGATAGATTACAGACACAGACGCCGCCATGTTTAATCATGTGACGTGAAAGGTGATGCAACCGACAGGTTGAATCGGGCGAAGCATTCAGCTAGTGTGTCCACCCATTCAGCCGAACGATTCGGCTAGTGTGTCCATCGATTTAGCGCATGCGTGTTGTATCATAAGGTATGTCATTGAGTCAACTGGCATGGGTTCCATTCCCGGGTTGAATATGACAAGGAGTAGGGACGTCTGTCCAACCCCGTGGATTTTCTCTGGGTGCTCCGGTTTCCTCCCACTGCTAAAGACCCCTACGGTTAGTCCTGAAATAACCTAGTTTGTGTCGAGTGAATGTTAAACCCCATTTCATTCTCACTCTCCCTTTGGATGGTGCCACACTTTTTCATGTATTATCATTATTTGTTTTCCCTCTCAGGTTTGATTTCGATTGCAAAACCACATAAAAAAGGCTATTAATTGGACTACTTTCAAGTTGCTGTAGTCACAGACTCAAATAGTAAGGAGAATGTGTTTGTGAACTGCAAATTTTTTTTTTGTGGCACTACATTTATGACCCCGGAGCCACTGACTGGCTAGTGTTCATCAGGATTTTCCGATGTGGTTTCTGCTTGGCAGTGTTGCAGGACAGAGGGCCTGACAAGGACAGCTGTCTAGTCGTTCGGATGGGACGAAAATCTGAGGTCCCATGTACACAAAATGAAATGAAATGGGGTTTAACATCCTACTGTTCTGCTCCTAAACCGGGCTAATGAAGATGGGCCTACACCATACAGTGTGCTATGAGGGAAATTTTGCCCGGGCAGCGGCACAACAGAATACTCTTATATCGAATTCCAACTACCAAGGGATCGTTTACGTGCACTCCAATGTGTACAATATCAAGTTACTGTAGTCACAGACAGGAATAATAAGGAGAATGTGTTTGTGCACTGCACAGGTTTCTAGTCTTTCGGATGGGATGAAAAACTGAGGTCCCATGTACACATCGGCATGCACGTTAAAGATCCCCTGACAGTTGGAACTCAATATATGAGTAGGCCTTAGCACAGCTGTCCGGATAAAACTCCCTTGTAGCACACTGCCGTGGTTGAATGGCTAATGGTTAACTTTCAAGTTAACACACTGGCTAACTAACGAGGGGTCCGATCCTGGTATAGAATTTTCCCCTTGTTTGTAATGTAGGACAGTGTCTAGTCCTTCAAATAGGACATAAAATCAAGATCTTGTGCTCATGTTGCATGTGCATGTCAACGAAACCTTGACAGCTGGAATTCGAAATGAGAGTAGGTCATTCATTCATTCCTTTTTCTCTTTATGTGTCGCTTACAGGCTGAAATTCTTAAAGGAGTTAAAAGGTTCGATCCCTGCATTGGCCGAGAAAGTGATGCGGGACGTAGGGCCTGATAAGGACACCTGTCTAGTTGTTCGGATCCGATGAAAAACTGAGGTCCTGTTGACACATTAGTGTGCACGTAAAAGATCCCTTGACAGTTGGAATTCGATACAAGAGTAGGTCGTAGTACCGCTGTACGGGCAAAATGTCCCTCATAGGACACTGTATGGCACATGCCCGTCTTCATTAGCCCAGTTCGGAGCAGAACAGTAGGACGTTAAACCCCATTTCATTTCTATTGTTGGGCCCCTGGAAATGGACAAAAATGGGTAGCAAGGCATATAATAATATAACATGAATGTATATAAACTGAATAAAGTTCAGTCTTATCTGGTTTTACTGTATATTTTAATCAATTATGTTCGACAAAATATGCAAAAAGCCCAAATTGAATGACAGTCTTTGGCGTCTGCTTATTCTAGTCCACACCAGTATTCTCCTGTGGGATATGGTTAGCCTTCTTCATCGAGTCGCTTCATTACAAATGGTGCTCATGTTATTAAACTGACATTTGTTTACGTAAGAAAACTAAGGATAAAAAATGACAGTAATTTAATTGTTAGTATCATGAAATTAAACTGACATTTGTTTTACTTTATACAACTAATATCAGGTTTATGTTAGAAAACTAACATTAGATTTATGTTAGAAAATTAACGTTAGATTTACGTTAGAAAACTAACGTTAAATTAACGGTTAAAATTATGACATAAAAGTAACGTTATATTAACGTTAGAAAACTAACGTTATATTAACGTTAGAAAACTTACGTTATATTAACGTTAGAAAACTAACGTTAGATTTACGTCAGAAAACTAACGGTTAGAAACCTGATGTAAAATTTACGTTAGAATAACGTTAGAATTATAACCAATAATACATATATAATTATTATGTCTGAATTCCAACTATTTATCAATTGTTAGAATGTGCACACACTTGTAATGTTATTTAATCAAGAAGTATTTAACGCGAAAAAAATTGGTTAGTAATCCGTCATAAAGTTTACGTTACATTTACGTCATTTTCTGACGTAAAAGTAACCATAACCATTATGACGTAAAAGTAACGTAAATTTAACCAAAGAATTTTACCATTATTGGACGCTAACCAAAATCTAACCATAATGACGTAAACTTTACGTAAATCTAACCATCAATGTTAACTGGGTAAGTATCACGGTCTTTGCTTAACAATGGGTTTTTATAACTGAGTTGAGGTGTAGCATGAATTATAGAAAGAAATGGGGTTTAACGTGCACTCGACACAACTAGGTCATTTCGGGACTAATATATGGTTCAATTTTATTTCAATTCGCTTGCGCGTTAAGGGTC